CCCAGCACCACCAGGGTTCCTGGTACCATTGAAAAGGAGACTTGGTGATGGTACATGGCTAGGACCCGTGGAAGCAGTTCTGCTGTATTCTGTATGGCTGTTTTGAGTTGGAATCGACTTGAAAGCAGTGGGTGTGGTTTCGGATTAGAACAGTTGAGGGAGCAGACCAAGGTCTCTCTGTGCCATAGGTCCCAGATGAGCTTCTTCCCTCTGGCCCTGCCTTAGCAAGCACGGTTTCCACGCTCCTTTCTGGCCTCTGCAAAGTCAATCAAACAGGAAGTCAGACGCACGGCAGGAAGTGGGTGTGACCACCCTCGACTTCTCCATCCTCCAGCCCCTTACTCAGGAGACCCTCGAGTTGCCTATACACAACAAAGGGAAGAGGGGCCTACATATAGCCCCAGGTGACATCTTGTGGGAGGTCTGGCTTTTGCTCACTGGAGCTACTGTCTCCTCACTTGGTCAATAAAAACCTCTCATGGTCTGGCCCCACCTGGGCCTCCACCTTCATTTCTGCTGCTCCCTAGTAAAGCTTGTCATTAGTCAAGTCTTTACTACTGCCTCCGCCACCATGTACTCACCAGGCTGTCTCTGCCCTTGCTTATGCTGGGAATACCATTTCTTCCCTTGGACTACTGGTGAACTCCTATTCATCCTTCAAAACCCTAGCCAGAGGTCACCTCCTCTGGGAAGACTTTGCTGATCCTCTCAGACAGACCCACCCTCCCACATCTCTACCTCACTTTGCATACCACCATGCTTGCCCACTTTGGGGAGCACAAAGGTAGCTTGATGAATAACAGCAAAACTGAGTAGAGTGCCTGACACCTTGGGAATGACCCTATAAATGAGTCTCCAATATTGGACCCCCAGAGGTCCCTTAGTTCCTCAGTGACCCATTCTGGATCCATGGTTACCCATAGCCTGGGCTGGTTCTCTCAGGCTCCATTTTACACCTGTGATGGGTACCACCTTGGGGACTAAGAACTTTCAAATAGGAAGGAAAACAAGAAGCTGGGCCCTGCACTGGGCTCAGGCTTGTGAATATGCCTGTTAACACTCATGAGAGGCAAAGTTCACGCTACCAAAAAAAAAAGAAGAACTCCAGTGAAAAAATGTAGAAAGAATTATGGAATTAGCGAACTACCACTTGGCATCCACCCCAGGAGTGGGAGGATGCTTAATGAGTAAACAGGATGATTACATAATCCCAAATTACATATGTTCCCACGAGATACGTATCAGTTACAGAGGGAAACACAGTAACTGTACAGTGAAAAAACTTGGCCACATCACGAGTACTAGGACAAACCAAGGCCTACTGCCTCCTCATAGGATGTGCTAAGGATGACACAGAGTCATTCCTGGAGCGAACTGTCAAAACATCACAGAGGAAACTCCAGACAAGCCTTAAAGGGAGGGCCATTCTGCAAAACAACTATCCTGTACACTCCCAAACCATCACAGGCATGAAGACTTGTGATTAAGTTCCATCCAGTCCACTCACTGTGACCCCATGTGACAGAGCAGAACCGCCTCCTATATAGTTTCATAGAGAGAGAATTTTCCAGACTAGATAGATAGCATCTCACCAGACATTTTTCCCACAGAGCTGCAGGGTGGGTTTGAACCACCAACCTTTTGGTTAACAGCTGAACTCTCAACCCTGCGCCATCAGAGTGTCTATCTCACACTGGAGGAAGTAAAGAGACACAGCAAACACTTGGATCAGATCCCAGATTGGGGGGGCTGTTGTTGTTGTTGTTGTTGTTGTTGTCAGGTGCCATCAAGTCGGTACCGACTCATAGCGACCCCATGCACAGCAGAACAAAACAATGTCCGATCCTGGGCCAACCTCACTACCGCCGCCACACTTGAGTCCATCAATGATGCCACCTGGCTGATCCATCTCGTTGGGGGTCTTCCTCTTTTTCTCTGACCCTCCACCTTACCCAGCATGACATCCTTCTCCAGCGACTGTTTCCTCCAGACAATATGTCCAAAGTAGGAGAGACGAAGCTTAGCCATCCTGGCCTCCAAGGAGCACTCTGGCTGCACTCCTTCCAAAACAGATCTATAGGTTATTTTGGCAGTCCATGGCACTTTCAGTATTCTCCTCCAACACCACAACTCAAAGGCATCAATTCTTCTACGGTCTTCCTTATTCACTGTCCAGCTTTCGCATCCATATGAGGTTATTGAAAATACCATGGCTTAGGTCAGGTACACCTTAGTCCTCAAGCTGACATCTCCGCTCTTCAACACTTGAAAGAGGTCTTGTGTAGCAGATAAAAAAACAACCTTGTTCTCTTTTGCTACAATTGTCATTCTTAGGATAATTGGCCCAAACTGAATAAGGTTTGTAGATTAGACCGTAGCACTATATGAATGTAGACTCCCTGATTTTGATGGTTTCACTGTGGCTACTTGTTCTTTAAAAACGACACACAAACTTAGGGACAAAGGGAAATCATGTCTACAACTAACTTTCAGGTCACATAGAAAAAAAAAAAAATTGTGTGTGTGTGTGATTAGTCCCTTCAAGTTGGCCCCCAATTCATGGAGACCTCACGCACATCCCAACTTACGCTCACCAGAGCTGCAGGCTCCCCGTGATCTGGTGAGAACTGTCTACTGAGGTCCACAGTGTTTTCTCTGACTGGTTTGCAGAAGGAGGTCACCAGCTCTTCCTAGGTTGTCTTAGTCTGAAAGCTTGGCTGAACATTTTCTAGCATCATAGGAACACACCAGTTTCCACTGGCAGAAGAGCAGTGGTTACACATGAGTTGTATTAGCCAGGAATCAAATCATCTGTGTACATACAGTTCACACAGACACACACAGAAAATAAATGTAAAAAAGAAATTAACAGCTAACGTTTGGGGAAATTGAGTGAAGAATGTTGTTATTGTTATTAAGTGCCGTCGAGTCAGTTCTGACCCATAGCGACCCTGTACAGGGTTTCCGAGGGTGTAAATCCTTACGGGAGTAGACAGCCTCATCTTTCTCCCACGGAGCGGCTGGTAGTTTCGAACCGCTGACCTTAAGGTTCGCAGCCTGATTCGTAACCACTACGCTACCAGAGCTCTAGATAAGAATAATTTTCTGTATGTCTGAAATTACTTTCAAAATAGAAAGTTAAAGCTGTTTCCATTGTCCCTGGGTAAAAGTCCACTTCACTAGCATATTTCTCCCTCTCGTCTCCTCTCCTCCCCATTCTGGCCCATTCTTTCCTCTCCAGCAATCCCTGCCAACTTGAAGTTTATCATTTCCTGGACCCTTCTACTCTGCTACTGAGAATGCCTGCTCTCCCCAGATTCCCTCTGTCTCAGTTCATTATGGAGTCCCTGAGGGATACAAATGATTAACAGGCTCCACAGTTAACCAAATGTTGGAGATTTTAATCCATCCTGAGGGACCTCAGAAGCAAGCCCTGGTAATTTAAAAAAGCCAGCCATTGAAAACTCTACAGAGCTCAGTTCTACTCTGACATACGTGGGGTCTCCATGAATTGGAGTTGACTCATGCTGACCCCGACCACCACCTCCTCCAGCTCTGGGCTAGGCACCTCTCTCCACACAATTCCCCAAATCCCACTATGCTTTCTCCATCAGTTCTGGTCACAGCGATTGTTCATCATTAGCGCTGAATCATGATCACGTGTAATTCATTACACACATTGATCTTTTTCATTTACGTCTTGTCAATGCTGTGAGGTCAATTATATTTGTCCCCATGTCTCTTATGGAAAACCCAATGCTCAGAAACATAAAAATGTCCCAGGACATAGCTAGAAAATGGTAGCAGTTGAACTAGAAGCAAATGTTTGACTCTCAAAAGTCACATGCCCTTCCTTCTGCTATAAATTATAGCGAGGGCTGGCCACTGACCCTGCTGAGCTCGGACTCCACCAGGCCTTGAGCCAGGCACTTCCTGAATCAGTGTCATGAATGGGGGTCCCAAGGGTCCCTCCCTCAGAGGGTAGTTAGTTGTGCAGATGCAACAAGCTAATTAATACCAGCAAGGCCCTGGCACTGTGCCTGGCGTGGAGAACGCTGCTTCCTGGAGTCTCTAGTGGATTGGACGGTGTCTCCACAAAATGTGCTGTGAATCCTAACCTCTAGGTTTAAACTACAAGGTCGGCAGTTCAAATTCACCAGCTGCTCCTCAGAAACCTATACAGAGTCGCTGTGGAAACCAACTCAGCTGCACTTAACAATTGCCTCTAAGTCAGTTCCGACTCATAGAGAGTCTGTATAGGTTTCTGAGGAGCGGCTAGTGAGTTTGAATTGCTGACCTTGCAATTCAAACCGACCTTGAGGTGGAAAGTTTATCCTATGGCATCATACCAGGACACCTAGCGGTTAGCTAATTATACCTTCCAAGGACTCATCTATTAGGAACAGCTATTGTCATAATCACTCAATTAATTCTGAGGCAACCTCAGTGAGAGGGCTCTACTGTGCTTACTCACCTCTCTCCCCATGTGACTGAGAGCTCTCCAGAGCAGGGCAGTCTCCTGGCCTTGTTCTGCGGGCTCCTAAAGCCTCACAAGACGAGGGAGTAAACTAACAGGGCTGCTGCTGGACCACACATGGCTGGCCCGGCAGAGAGGGGTTGGTCAGGGTTCTGGGAGAAGGGATTGCCTGTAGTCTTAAAGCACATTTCCTAGAACATTCCTCCTTCCCAGGTGGAATCACTCCTGAGCAGGCTTCCAGGCTGTTCCCAGCCCACAGCTGTGAGGCCGGAAGCAGGGGTAAGGGACTAAGAGCAGGTTTCAGACCAGTCCTTCAGGGCCCTCAGCCCAGAAAGAGCCTTCCCTGCTTTGGGGCAGGAGTTTCACTACAGCCCCTGGTAGCCAGGTGGGCCTCCTCAGGTGGAGCCACTCTAGCCTCAGAGGTGCACACCTGCCCCTCTAGCTATAAGTCCTGGGCCCTTACCTGGCAGTTGGGAGTAGTGTTATGGGGTCTGTGCTGTGCCTGGGGGTAGGGGTTCTAGCCATGGCCTGGGGTCGCTGTGCGGTCCTGCTGCTGTTGGTGGTGGTGGCAGCGGCGGTGGCAGCCACTCTAGAGCCAGGGCTGGGTCAGCAGACACAGACGGAGCCTGGTCTTACAGGCTTGAGACACAGCTACAACTGTGGGGCCCAGAACATGCAACTGTGGGTGCTCCCCAGACCCGGCAGGGCCGTGCGTTTCAAGGTGGTGGGTGAGTCACTGCTGGAAGAGTCCCCATCACCTCCCTACCATTCCCCCACCCACCCACACCTTTCCTTTAGCCCTAGCTCTCAGACCTCAGGTGGCCTCAGGGAATGGAGACCCTGTTCTAAGCAGGAGGAGGAAAGCAGAAAGTTTCCCAGGGCCCTGGGGGTGAAGTGATTTCACTTCCCTGGTAACCAGTGACACTTGTGTGTCTAACATCACTGTGGCAAGAATCCCCTGGCCTCCTTGTTTTGGTTTTGTGGCTCTGAATCCACTAGGGGCCCAGTGCACTGGGGTTCCATTAGTTTGACTGCTAACTGAAAGGTCCACAGTTCGAACCCACCAGCAGCTCCATGGGAGAAAGACGTGGAATCCTGTGGACCACAGTCCACTCTGTCCCATGCAGTCACCATGAGTTAGAATTGACGCAGGGGAGCTGGTTTAATGTGGGGAACTGGACTCTCATGGAAATTAAAGGAGGCCCTGTAAGGAAGGCCCTAGGCTTGGGGCCCGGATAGTCGGCACTCGGTGAGTGAAGCGTTTGGCTGAGAACTGAAAGATCAGCTGTTTGAAGCCACCAGCCACTCCTTAGGAGAATGAGGCTTGCTGCTCCCATAAAGAACACAGTTTCAGAAGCTTGATGGAGCAATTCTACTTTATGGGTTCGCTATGAATCAGAACCAACTCAATGGTAGCGAATTTAGTTTGGTGGGTTTGAGTGTTACTGTAATAAAACACCACAAACTGGACTTTAAATGGTAGAAATGTATTGTCACATAGTTTCAGAGACCTGGATGGCAACAGGGCTATGGGCCTTGGGAAGTCTCTCAGCGTCTGGTAGACCCAGCATTCTTTGGTTTGTAGATGCAGCCAGTCTTTTCTCTGTCTCCTCTTTTATAAGAACACTGCTCAGATGGGGTTAGAGTACCCCTACTCCAGTATGAGGAGTCCTGCTGTGGGCAAATGCGTCAGACTGCAAAGCTGTTTGAACTGCAAGGTCAGCGGTTCAAGCTCACTAGCTGCTCCTTGGAAGCCCGGTACAAGGTCACTATGGGTCGGAATCGACTCAGGGGCACTTAACAACAACAACAACTCCAGTATGACTTCATTCAAGCTGGTAACATCTTCAAAGACCCTATTTCTAAGCAAAGCCATGTTCACAGGTTCACGGATTAGCACATCATATCTTTGGGGAGATAACGCCATTCAATCGGGGCCAGGACTCCCAATTGATGCCAAGTCTGTTTGTTCCACAACCCATACTGTGAACACAAGAGCTCTGGTGGTCATGGCCTGAGGTGGAGAAGGAGGCTATAGGTTTGGAACGGATTCAGATCTGTCCCTTCGAAGCTCTGTGATCTTGGGTGATTGATCTGACCTCTGTTAAGCCTCTATTTCCTCTATAAAATGGGAGAGGACCCAATCTTGCCAAGTAGACTGCACAGGAGTGTATGGGGTGAGCCGCACACCAGAGGATGCCTTGATTGCTTAGGGCTGGCAGGGTAGTGAACACCCTCCCAAGTAGTTGCAACAGCCAGTAAACCTGCCAACAGGCTCAACTTTTTCTAAAAAAAACTACCCCAGGTTTGAATCCTCACTGTGAGCACCTGAGAAAGCTCAGTCCCTCTGAACCTCACCTGCCTCGTTTCCAGCAGGAGGTAGATAACAAAGCTCAAAACAAAACATCCAACTACCACCAGAGACCCATTTTGTCCCTTCTCAGTTCATTGCACTCTTCCTGCCCTGCCCAGGCCCTTCCCTATTGTTTGGGCTCAACAGGGTACCTTAGCTAGAAAGATCTTGAGACCAGCTGAAGCCGGCCATCACCTCACAGATCTGGAAACCAACCAGAGAGGGGAAGGGACTTGCCCAAAGACACATAGCAAGTTGGTAGTGAAACTGAAGCTGGAACCTAATCTTCTGCCTCCTGAGCAGGGGATTCTTCTCACCAGACCCCACCCAATACACTTGGACTTCACCCTTCAGCCACTCTGACCTTTCTCTCCCCACCAGATGAATTTGGAAACCGTTTTGATGTGAACAACTGCTCCATCTGCTACCACTGGATCACCTTCAAGCCTCAGGGGGCCGTGGTCTTCTCTGCTGATTACAAAGGCTGCCATGTGCTGGAGAAGGTAAGGCCGGCTGGGAATGAGTGTGGCCTAACCTAGTGTCAGGCTGGCAAGGCCCCATGTGAAGCCCAAGGTCACTCAGTGGGCTGGTGGGTGCGGGAGAGCCAGGCCTGCATGCAGGCACTCCAGTGCAGTGCGGCTCGGCTCTCCAGGGTCCCTGCTCTCCCGCTCCCCTGCAGGATGGCCATTCCTACCTCACGGTGGTTGTAGAAGCTCTGCTACCTGATGGCCGAGTCGAGGCCACACAAGATGCCACCCTGATCTGTCCCAAGCCTGATGGTTCCTGGACTCTGGACTCCCACCTGGTGCCACCCACCCTATCTTCACTTTCTCCTCCTCATAGTCCTGCCCTCAGCCCCTCCCCTGGCCCCAACCATGCCTTTCCCAGTCCACTGTATCCAGATCACAGCTCCATCCCTCTAACCCCTGCCTCTTCATCCTGGGGACCTGGACCCACAGACTCCTCCCTGGCTCCATCCCAGCAGAGCATGCTGGGACATGGGGATGTTGACAAGTCAGCTTACATAGGTACGTGGGACTTGGCTGGGTGTACCAGTCATCTCGGTCCACACCTGCCTGGCCATCTCCTCCTTCTGTCCTCACCACGTCTCCCCAATCCTAGGTAACTACCTGACCCAAGAGCAGTGTAGAGTGGCCTCTGGACACATCCCTTGCACAGTGATGAGAAACTCAAAGGAAGGCTGTCAGCAGGCTGGCTGCTGCTATGACAACACCAGAGAGATTCCATGTTACTATGGAAACACAGGTACAGTCATCTGTGGTCCAGGTGCCCTGGAGCCTGGAGCATTAAAGAGAGTTATCTTATCCCAAGTGGCTACTGATACTTGGCCTAACATCCCACTCCTAGAAGGGCCTGACTCCCAGAACGGAGTACAGGAAAAGATCTTTGCAGAGGGTGATCCCACATCCCAACTTATTCTATGATTGTCTCTGGGAGCTGTTAAGAACACTCCCCTTCAAACAGTGAAGCACTTAGCTACTAACTGAAAGGTTGGCAGTTTGAATCCACACAGAAGGTGCCTCAGAAGGTCACAGCCATTGAAAACCCCATGAACACAGTTCTACTCTGGCACACATGGGGTTACCAAGAGCTCTGATTGGCCCAGTGGTAACTGATTTGGATTGGTTTGCTTTTAGATCTAGAACATCCTGATTCAGATGAGAAATTATATGATCCTAGTGTTACTACATGGAGTCTGGGTGTGGTGCTGTAAGATAAGCACTGGACCACAAGGCCAGCAGTTCAAACTCACCAGCCAACCCTCGGAAACCCTACACAGGGTCACTATGAGTTGGAACCGACTAGGTTTTCTATGAGTTGGAACATAACAACATGACAACTTTGAACACACAGTTTGGCCTTTTTCTTCCACGGATGACAGAAATGGAGTCTGGTGAAGGTTTCCTTAGGCTCACAATGGTGGGATGTTGATTTGTTCTCTAGCCCCTCTCCCCCTGGGCTGGACAAACACGAAGCCCTACGTTCCTGATTTACTTTTCCGATCTGCCTCTATCCCAGCTACTGTCCAGTGCTTCAGAGACGGAAACCTCATCCTGGTGGTGTCCCAAGAAACAGCCTTGGTGCACAGGATCACGCTGGCCAACGTCTACCTGGCCTACGCCCCCACCAGCTGCCCCCCTTCCCAGAAGACTGATGCCTTTGTTGTCTTTCGATTCCCTCTTACCCACTGTGGAACCACAGCCCAGGTAGGCGTGGGGACTGGGGTGGTGCCTGATCCCTCCCTAGGGACAGCCTCACCCAGCTGTCCTCTCCCACAGATTGTTGGCAACCAGCTCATCTATGAGAACCAGCTGGTGTCAGACATGGACATCCGAATGGGACCCCGGGGCTCTGTCACATGGGATGGGGCCTTCAGGTGAGATGGAGCCCTCCTTAACAGGCGGGGCTGTGGGCTTGGGCCTGGGGATGCAGATGGAAAGTTGGAGCGAGCAGGTGTTTGAATCACCTGGCTGTGTGGCCTTAGACTCTGGGCTTACTCTTCCAGTCTCTACTTCCTCAAGTACTAAATGTAAAACACAGTTCCCGTTGAGTTGATTCCAACTCACAGTGACCTAGCGACCCCACATGCCCAGAGGAGGACTATGGTCCATACGGATGTCAAGGCTGAGGCCGGACCTTTCTTGGTGCTTCAGGGTGGGTTTAGTAGTCAAGTGCTTAGCCATTTGTGCCACCCCGGGCCTCCCCTCAACAGATGGGCAGGGAGGAGGAATAATGGTGTGAGGGCGCAGGAAGACCTTCGTGGGAGGCACCTGCCTTGGCAGTGATGCTCATCCCCCTGTGACCGACACCCCACTGCTGGACGACTTGCTCCCACATCCATGGCTAGGGACCCAGCTCATTCACTCACTGGGCTGCTGATGCTGTCTCCTCCCACCCTCTGCACTTGACCTTTAGGCTTCACGTCCGATGTGTCTTCAATGCCAGTGACTTCCTGCCCATCCAGGCATCCATCTTCCCACCCCCACCACCTGGCCCCCTGCACCAGTCTGGTCCCCTACGGCTGGAGCTCCGGATCGCCAAGGGTATGGGGCCCCAGCTTTCTCCTTCTGCTCCTGCCTCCCTGCACAGCCTTCTGGAACTCATGTACCCTTTCCTTGCAGACAAGACCTTCAGCTCCTTCTATGGGGAGGATGACTACCCCATCTCAAAGCTGCTCCGAGAGCCAGTCCACGTGGAGGTCCGGCTCCTGCAGAGGGCAGACCCTAGCCTGGCCCTCATGCTGCACCAATGTTGGGCCACACCTGGCCCCAACCCCTTCCAGCAGCCTCAGTGGCCCATCCTGTCAGACGGGTAAGGGGCAGTGGGTGCCTGAGCTACTCAGGGGCTCTGTCCATGTCCCTACCCCTGCCTGTCCAAGCCATGGGCACCTTGTTCTCTCCTTCCCAGGTGCCCTTTTGACAGTGATGGCTACAGAACCGAGATGGTGGCCTCAGACCAAACACTGCCCTTCCCGGCTCATCACCAGCGCTTCACTGTGGCCACTTTCACCTTTCTGGACAGGGGCTCCCATAAGGCCCTCAGGGGACCGGTAAGGAAACATGGTGCTGCTCTGCCAGGTCCTCAGCTGCTAAATGGGGATAATTTGGGCACTGAGTCCCAGCAGGCGCTGCGGATTGTAGACAAAGCCACCAGGATGGATTTGACTTGAGAGGTATATAAATGAGGAGAATACAAGGAACAGTGTGGTGCAGCAGGCTGGTGTGACGCTGTGGGTTAATGCGTCACACTGCAAAGTCATCTGAACTGCAAGGTTCAAGCTCACCACCAGCTCCTCAGAAACCCTATACAGGGTCACTAAGGGTCGGAATCGACTTGATGGCATACTTAACAACAACAATTAGACTGTCAGCCAAAAGACTGGAGTTTTGAGTCCACCAGGAAGTGTTTTTAAAGAAAAGCCAGATTACTTCCAGAAAAGCCAGGCAATAAAAACTCTGTGGAGCACAGTTCTTTGACTCACATTGAGCCACCATTGTACATCTCTGTTGTACAAATGGGAGTGAGAGCTGTACGCACAGGGCCAGGCCTCTGGTTAATCCAGAGTCAGCCTGGAGACAAATCGAGGGAGGAGAGAAGATAGAGTGTGGGTGCAGTCAGCACTAAATCTGCACAGCAGTCACGGTAGCCTTGATTCATAGTCTAGAAATAAAGATTGTTCAATGTAAATATGCGCTTGATTTTTATAACTTGGCAACTTCCCCATTCAATAACGTGGCTAAATTTAGAGTCCATTCATCTAGGTTCTCGACATAATACACAAATGGTCACATATGGTCACGTACTACTGCACATTTGTTCTGGAGAACAATCCATCAGATCTGTCACATTAATATGTTGTTGTTAAGTGTGCTGTTGAGTCAGTTCCAACTCATAGTTGTTCCAAACTCCTGTACAGGGTTTCCAAGGAGCAGCTGGTGAGTTTGAACTACCGACTTTGGTGTTCAAACTGACCTTGAGGTCAAGTGCTTATCCTATGATGCCACACCAGGACTCTTCACACTCATATTGCCGTTGTTAATAAATGCTGTCGAGTCAGTTCTGACCTTTAGCGACTCTATAAGGATTTCTAAGGAGCGACTGGTGAGCTTGAACTGCCGACCTTGTGGTTCAAACTAACTTTGCAGTCCAGGGCATTAGCCCACAGCGCCACAACAGGACTCACCACACGAATATGTACAGATCTGAATATAATTTTAAGTAGCTGCTTAGCACTTGTTACCCATTTCTACAGAGCTGATGCTGATTTACAACACACTTATAGGCCAGGCTAAAACTGTCCCAGAGGATTGTTAAGGCTGTAACTTCTACACAAGAATACTGTCAACATCTTTTGCCTATAAAGTGGCAGTTGGGTTTGAACAGTCAAACTTTCAGTTAGCAGTCGAGTGCTTAACCACCATGCCAGTAGGGCTCCTGTGATGGATGGCTTCATTCTTAGTTGTATGCTTCTTCCTGAGCCGAGATGCTAGCCTGTTCAACAAAGGAGCATTTGTTGATAGAGCCAGCTTCTCTGCCTTCTCTGGGAGCTGTCCCTGGCATTGTTTCTGGGAGCAGAGGTTATGTCTCCTGGCAGACCTTTCCCACTGGTGCCACCTGGAAGCCTGGTGGCACATGGACTAGCCTCTGTGCCTGTGCTGGAGGTCAGGAAGAAAGAGAGACAGTCATCTGCTTTACTGAAGCGGGGTCAAGACCCCGCCTCCGAATGGGAGCTGCCCAGGGAGGCTCTGCTACCCAGGGCTCAAGTGAAAGGGCAGAGTTTTCCCTGAAGACTTGGACTTGGGGAAGGGAGGATGACAAGGGAGGATGACAAAAGAATTCTAAACAGGAATGCCAAGTGTATGGCTTTGTAGCTGTGTGTGGCAGCAGTCTTGGCCTGTCGGGTCAATGTGCCTGAATTCTTCCCTGCCTGTTTGCTGGCAGCAGAGTGTTCTGGGATTCCAGTCTTGGGTCCCCTTCGTGGTCCATCCTGGCCAGTGGCACTGGCCCCTTTCCTGACCGGTGTCTCTTACCACCAGGTCTACTTCTTCTGCAGCTCATCTGTCTGCCACCCCTCGGAGCTGGAGACGTGCTCCATGTCGTGTAGCCCCGGGACTGCCCGTGAGTCTGGTCTGGGAGGGGAGAGAAATGGGGGTCTTTGTTCTTTCACATTCCCAAGAGCCCCCTCTGGATTCTGGGCCACAAAGTCTGGAGACCCACGGTAACCTCTCTTCCCTGGACAGGACGGAGGCGGTTCTCAGGTGACCACAACAACACAGCCAGGCCCTGGGATATCGTGAGTTCACCGGGGCCAGTGGGCTTTGAGGATGTTAGCGGGCAGCTGCCTACCCAAGGGCCCACAGGTAGGAGAGCCTGGGTGTCCTCCCCAAAAGGTGATGACAATGCAGAAGGGTTGGGGCGGGGGAGCATCAGTCCAGTGAAGGCAGGAGATGTGGGACAACCATGTTCAGTGAAGAACTGAATGCAGACAGACCCCATGGGTTCAACTCGTCTGGGGTGGTCGCAAAGGCCTGGTACAGCCCTGAGGTCCCTCAAACCACGTCTTTCTGGCAGGCTCCATGAGGAACTCTAGCTCCGAGCTTCTCTGGGTGGTTCTTCTTCTGCTGGCTGTTGTCCTGTTCCTGGGGGTTGGCATCTTGGTGGGTCTGAGCCAGGCCTGGGCTCGGAAGCTCCAGAAAGGCAGCAAAGGGTGAACGGACTCAATAAACCATTGTTTCAAATTTCCTGGGAGCAGCTGTGGTACTTACTGATAACGGGGACAGGATTCTTGCTTGTCCTAGAACGTGTCCCTTGGAGTTGGCTTTTAAATGAGTGACCTCTTACATATACTTGCTGGATGCTAGACCCTGGGCTGGGCTGCGCAGAGCTGAGTGCCTCCCCAGACTGAGGGTGGGAGATTACTTCTCAACAAGGAAAGGAGGAACAGGAAGGTGATGGCCCAGCAGGGACTTGTGACATGTCCCTTGTTGTTGTTAGGTGTCATTGAGTTGGTACCAACTAGACTTATAGCAACACTATGCACAAAAGAATGAAACATTGCCCAGTCCTGGGCCAACTTCACTATTGTTGCCACACTTGAGCCCATTGATGCTGCCACTTTGCCAACCCATCTCGTTGGGGGTCTTCCTCTTTTTCTCTGACCCTCTACCTTACCAAACATGATATCCTTTTCTAGTGACTCCTCCCTCCTTGACAATATGTCCGAAGTATGAGAGACGAAGTTTGGCCATCCTGGCCTCCAAGGAGCACTCTGGCTGCACTTCCTCCAAACACACACCTTCAATCTTTTCTCCATTGATAAGAATGTTGTTTATTGGTCCAGTGGTGAGGATTTTTGTTTTCTTTACATTGAGATGCAATCCATACCGAAGGCTGTGCTCTTTGATCTTCATCAGTAAATATTTTAAGTCCTCTTCACTTTCAGCAAGCAAGGTTATATCCTCTGCATGTTGCAGGTTGGTAATGAGTCTTCCTCCAATCCTGATGGGTCACATTTTTCTTCATATAAACCAGATGTTCAGATTATTTGCTTAGCATACAGGTTGAATAAGTATGGTGAAAGAATACAACCCTGTCGCACACTTTTCTTAATTTTAAACACTTCAGTGTTCCCATGTTCTGTTTGAACAACTGCCTCTTGATCCATGTACAGATTCCTCATGAGCACAATTCAGTGTTCTGGAATACTCAGCCCCCAAATCCTCCCCCTGCATGGCGGCCTCATGGATAAGAGGTATCCAGAGGTCCCAGGGCCTAGAACAAATCCAGAGTTGAAGGAACTCCTCATGGTCCCCCGCTCGGAGCCTACCAGCCTGCCACAGAAGGTTCCGGGCTAGACCCTGGGCCTCTCGGAACATGTTCTAACAGGAATGGCACAGGCTGAGATCACACCTGCTACAACTACATGGCCACCTGATAGGTCAGTACTGGTGCTGGCTCTGCTGCTGACCCATCTGGTTGGATATGAATGGGCCTCATCTCTGTTTTGGCAGCAAAGGCCTTTTTGATCTGCTCTGTAGATCTTCAAGGCTAAGCATTGTAAAGAGTTCAGTCCCTCAGGGACAAGGGTGGGAGCCTGAACTTGGCTTCAGACAGTATCTGGGCTGACGGGTAGGGAGCTAAAAAGCTCAGCCAGCCCTCAGCTCCAGCCTCACGCCATCTCTTCGGTTGTCCAGTGCTCCAGTTGTCTGTTACTACTGGTTCCTGAAGAACCCATCCAGGATGAAATGATGCCTACTCCCATGCAGTCCCCATGACTGCTTGTAGATAGAACCATCTTGACCCACAGGGTTTCCATTGGCTGATCTTATGTATTTTTAGAAAACCCCCAGGTCTTTCTTCCTAGTCTGTCCAGAAGCTCTGATTAAATCTATTCAGCATCACAGCCACACACAAGTCTCCATGGACAGATGAGTGGTGGTTGCTTATGAGGTACACTGGCTGGGAATCGAGCCCTGTCTCCCAGTGTGTACTGTGAGATTTCTACCTCCAAACCATCATTCTCGCTCTGTCTTCAGGTTACTAGTTAAATACAGGGACTCAAGGGTCAAGTTACAACCACAGCTCTATGTCTTACTATGTGGTATCTATTAACTGACTTTCTCTGGGTCTCAATTTCCCCATCTGTAAAATGGGGATTATACCTATCCCCATAGGTGTTGGATTAAATGAGCTAATAATGAACAAGAATGCCTAGGATAGTACAGAACAGCCCACATTTACTCCTGGACATGGCACTGTGGGTTAATGCTCTGGACTGCAAAATTGGTTTGAACTGTAAGGTCAGAGGTTCAAACTCACCAGCTACTCCTTGGAAACTCTATACAGGGTCACTATGGGTCAGAACTAACTCGTCGGCACTTAACAATATTAACTAGGATTTCTTTTCCTCTGCCCCAAATCTAATGCTTATTTTGCTTGTCCTGTTTTGGTCAGAAGTTTGCAGCCCCAGATGTAAACTGTGAGGGCGGGGAGAAGGGTGAAGGGAGGAGTGGGTTCTTCAGAACATTCAATTGTACAGGACCAAAAGGGAAGCATTTGCCTACAACCCATAATTCTGAGGAGCACATTCCTCATGGGTATTATTTTTCACTTTACAGACCCGTCTACTGTTTGACTGAGAGGTGGTCCCCGGGGGTGGGTTCACTTACAGGCTTGAAGGATGTCTAAGGGCCAGAGTCTTGTAGGGAGGGGGGATGGCTGCCTTCAGGCTTCTCTCACTAGAGGTGGCCGCCAAATGGGACATGGGACACAAAGATCCAGCCCCTTGCTGGATGATGAAACTTAGGTCATTAATGTCCTTCTCTGGATCATCTTCCCCTTTACAGCCAGGGATGCCCAGTTTACCCTCTTCAGTTTGTACATGGAGGTATGAGGTATGTTCTTCATGGGTAGTATGATACAATGAGAATTCTTAGGTGGTGGGTTGGAGGAGCCAGATTGACTCTTGGGCACCAAGGTTCTGGCTCCATCTGGCATCGATCCTTCTAAACCCTACATCAAAGTACTTCGAAGAGCATGGGGGCATTAAAGGGATATCCTATAGGTAACAATGAGCTCTGTTTAAACAACACAGTACTCTAGAGCTAAGCTGCTGAAATCACTATGTAACCAAGTTTCTTCTTGACATTTATAACACAAGGGGAGACACAGTGTCTCCCTGCCTTCAGTTTTAATAGCTGCATTATCCTATGTGGAGTCCTGGAGTGACACTGTATGGTAAGCATGGACCACAAGGTCAGTTTGAACACCAAACTCGCCAGACACTCCTCGGAAACCCTATACAGGGTTGGTATGATTCGGAACCAACTAGATGGCACTTATCCTATGTGTTGTAAACGATAACACACTTAATCTCCTCTTTTCTTTTCTTTTTTAAGGTTTTTGTGGATTGAGTGAAAGTTTACAGGGCAGATCATCAGCTTTACATTCAACAAACCATGTACTTTGTTTTATTACAATAATTATAATCCCCTCCATGTACTATCAGTTAACAGTATTTCTCTCCACTTCAGCTCTTTTTTTTTTTTTAAATACTCACGCATAAATAGTAATTTACACCACCAAAGGGCACATTCTGCAAGTCTGCCTCCTGGCCACCAGCTCTCGGTCCCTCTCTTTCTTCCCATGAATCTAGAGTCCTCAGCTGCTCCCTCTCTCCATGTCCCCATCTCTGCCTCCATCTCTGGTGTCACTGCTTCTCTGGATAAGGTCCCGCATTCCACCTGTGCTCTTCTCCCTCAAGGGTCCTAGGGTCCTTTGTTTCTGGACTGTAAGATTAATTACTCCCCCATTTGTTACAAAACTTCTACCTGTACAATTGTGACAGTCACAATCATGATAACAATTATTCACTACTGAATCATAAAAATCTTATCTCCATCTCTTTTAAGCAGACCCATCTAGACAAGATGAAAACTCTTCAGTGGGGACTTTTTCCCCCACACACTATTAAACTATTGAAACCTTGTAAGCCAGTCACTTCATGCCTTTATCTCCCCCTCATTTTAGGTAGCCAATGTCTAAGTTGCCCATCCCTATCTACCCTGTGTACAGAGGGGATAGCATTAGAGTTACTTACCTCCATGAGTATAGGTCAAGTTCATCAAATTGTAGCAATTTACCCTTGTTTCCTTTATCAAAAATTGTTTTGTCTTTTTTTTTTTTTCCTATCTTCTTTAGTTGAGTCCTGATTACCAAGCCATCAAGGCTTGGTCAAGTGGGTTAATCTCCTATTGATGGAAGCTGTTAACTGTCAAGGATAACAAGTGTGAATAGAACTACATAAGCATGTAAAGTCTCTGTATATTTTTTCCAGAGGAAATTCATAAGTAGAACTTCTGGGTCAAAAATTATGTCCCTGATAATTACCCGGCTAACAACAACAACAAGGGGTGTTTCTTCAGTCTTGCAACGACAAAACCAATAGCCTTCTAAATCTTTACCTGTCTGAGCACCCTAAGATAAAGAGCATTATTAGTTACAGATGGACGTCTTTGCGAGGCCAAGCGTCTGTATCTTATAAATCACCTCTTCGTATTTTCATTTGTTTATTTTCCTGTTTGAACAGAGCTTCCCCATTTCAAAGGGATTAACATCTTCCTCTTAAAAAGTTTCCTTTGAGTTGGCAATGGGGTTTTCTTTGTGGTGGTCTACCATCTTGCTGTTTTAGAAGATCATGCTAACAATGAATATTTCATATTTTTTTCTTGAATACGCACAGGTGTTCCCCTGCCCTGTATAAGACTTGTAAGGTGCCATGGAGCCAGGTCTGACTCAGATACCAGAGCAGAAGGTCCCTGGTCATGTGTTATGTTCATGACTGTTGGGATCTGTACCCAAACAAGTATCAATTTACTTTCTTGTAATATTTCTGTGACAATGCAAATGTCTCTCTACTGCTATTAAGGGATTATACAGTTGTGTGAGTTTTCATAGCTAGCGTTGTCATATTGATAGTAAAATTGTGCAATGATCTTGTCTATACTGTTATGTCGAGGATTCTGTTTACAAAGATAAATGTACAAAAGATTAGAACAGTGAAGGTCTTTTGGATACTAGGTTCCCCATGCCTTCTCTAGACAGAAACAGTGTATTAAAATCTAGCCCCGATTTTGTTCAATCAAAAACATCTTCATTCCCCTCATGGTGTGGACAGACACCTGAGCCCTGAGAACAGTTTAGTCAGACCTGA